TGCTATCCCAATCGTAATGTGTGCCCAATCGTAATGTGCTATCCCAATCGTAATGTGCTATCCCAATCGTAATGTGCTATCCCAATCGTAATGTGCTATCCCAATCGTAATGTGCTATCCCAATCGTAATGTGTGCTACAGAAGATGTCTGCAGTAGTGTGTTGTACCCTCTTTAAGTTCTTGTTTCTGTTCATCTGTCAGGTCACGAGATTTCCGGTTCTTAGGTCGTCCGACTACGAATGAGTTTTTGTGCATTATGCCTTAATAAAATTTGGTCGTAAATGCCTTGTGCAAAATGCCAAAATAAAAGGAAAAAACTAGCAACACCAGACGTCAGGAACAGCATCAAGAGACCAACCAACACTAACAAACTCGTAGAGAAAAAACAATACGAGTCGGAACAACCGTAATGCTACTCGTAACCTTGTACCCCGGAGCATCCATCCTGAAAATGTTGTATCCGCCGTAACTTATTGACCCTCAAATTGTTGTAGACATCCCAAATGTAAGGCCTGTGGAACTGGACTTCATCTACAATCGAAACTTTGCAGTTCATGGTAAGAATGCGTTATCGAATCAACTCTGTCGTCACTGATGGATGGATGGTGTTCTTTAGTGCTTTCAAAAAAGGTCGCTGCTCGATTTGCGGGAAGAAAATCGTCGATGTTTCTTCAGTAGCCGGTACGTAGTAGCCGGTACGTAGTAGCCGGTACGTAGTAGCCGGTACGTAGTAGCCGGTACGTAGTAGCCGGTACGTAGTAGCCGGTACGTAGTAGCCGGTACGTAGTAGCCGGTACTTAGTAGCCGGTACTTAGTAGCCGGTACTTAGTAGCCGGTACTTACCATGACGGAAGGTAGACAGTGTAGCAGCTTTTTATGTCGCACCACACCTAACTAGTCGTTCGTTTCACAGCCGACCGGGTCATCCGAGGAGGAGAAATCATCCGAGGAGGAGAAATCATCCGACCAGGAGAAATCATCCGACCAGGAGAATACTCCGCTCACGAAGCCAGAGAACAGGGAAGACCGCAACCACGAGGACATGCACCAAGATCAGGCACCAAAGCCACACATGAAACCATTAATTACCCTTCAGCCCCGGCTCCGGTTCGGTGTCGATTGGAGAAAAGGAGGAGAGGTTTCTTGGCGGCTAGTCTGAGCTTGGATTGGAACCTTCGGGCTCTAGACTCAGTGTGTTCTTCCATGTTCGTGGCAGTGGGTCCTGGAGAGGACATTTTGTGGTTGCAAAGGAGACAAAGGTCGTACCAGTCGGAACTCATTTCCTCATCGTCTTGTTCTTCGCCTTCGGAGACCAATTCAGAGGAGCATCCCTCAACTCCGAAATGTGACTGCAACAAGGAGGCGAGATGAGGTGGTAATAACGAGGCGAGATTGAGTGGTAACAAAGACGACATGGTTGAAGGTGGGGTGGTTACATCATAGGCGACGACGAATCGTTTAAATGTTTTGCGTGCCTGCGGCGTGCAAGAAGGGTCTTGAAGAGATTGGAGGGCCATGTTATAGGTTGAAAGACGACGGGCATAATTTTGGCTCAGAACGGCTTCAAGAGAATGTAGTTTAAGTAACTGATGGGCAACATCATAGCGCCCATATTCAAGGGCGATATCAAGCGGTCCTGGACGGATGGGTGACTCGTCTCCGATAGTGTCATTAGGTTGTCGTGTAAGGTCAATAGCTTGACGACGACACATCCGCCAGAAACGAATTATCCTGAGTGCCACACGGTCGTTACGGGTTTGGATGGCTGTGACCAACGGCGTCTCATTATTAGCATCAGCCAGGTCCAAAAAGTCCGAACCTGTGCACAACAAATATTCAACTATCTCCAACTCATTTTCGTGACATGCCAAATGCAATGGAGATTGCATAGCATAGTTCTGAACGTCCACCTCACACCCATACCTCAACATCAACTTCGCACACTCCAACTGACCCCCCTCGGCTGCATAATGTAATGCCGTGTTTCCCGTGTTCTGGTCCACTGCATTCAGGAATGTCGCGTATCGAGACGGTACCAAGCCGTTCTTATTGTACGAATTCGCTATCGCTAAAACACACTCACTTTGTTAGCTAATTAGGCCGGGCTCGGGTAGGGCGGGTAGTGGTGGTGGTAAGGGAGGGCTGGTTACATTCGTTCCAATGTTGTAACGCAGTTTCGTCGGATTCCATTGGGAGGAATTTGAGCGACTGAGCCTCAGCAGTGCTTTGTTTCGACCAGAAACGGTTTTTGGGTTTCGTAATGGTGTTACCTCGCACGAGTTGGATGTCACCCGCTATCGGTGCGGGTGGATGAACATCCGGTCGGCCGTTTCCGCCTGGTGCGTTGGGATGGGAGACCCCATTCGGATGGGAGATGTCGATGCTGCCTTTGCTCGGGTGTCGGGACAGTTTGGCTGGACTGCTTTGGGGAAATACCCCCTCGCAGAGGACGCCGCTGGATGACGTGGGGAGAGACTCGGTACCAACTTCTTCTTGGCAGTGTTTGCTGCAAAGGGGAAAGTTGCGTTGTAGTTCCTTCACATCGATTCCAGCCAGACGCACCGTGAAGGTCCGTAGGAGGTACTCCAAAATCGCGCTCTTACCCGTCTTGGCCGCCTGGATGTGCGGGTAGGACCAGGTCGGGTGCTCCCGCTCCAACAAAACTGGGAACGAGTCCATGATTAGCTCCACCGTCCTGATGTCGTCCTTCGCAATGGCCGCGGCCAACACCTCAGCCGCTAGTGGTCGCGACCTAAATCTCAAATTGTGAATAAACAGGCGAAGCAGTCGCGGCTCCGCCTTGTACGCTAACATGATCGCAGAGTTCTTATATGATCCAGAGAAACAATTCGGATCCGCTCCCCAATCCAATAAGTCGTGGATCAACCTCTCGTTAGGCAATTCAGCTGCGACATGCAACGGCGACTTAAATGCTTTGAACCCAGGGCATCTCAAATTAAACGGATAGCCATACTCAATTAGCATCCTGGTAATTGTTATATTCTTTGTCATTACCGCAGCGTTCATCGGAGTAGGGAGCGTAATATTCAACGGAGTTATGTCCACACCGTGCTCCAATAAATACTTGCATACTTCAACATTCCCTGACTAAAAAAGCCGTGTTTGCGCGTGCACACACGTGTGCTGCTTACCGAAACAGCTCTATATAATGGACTTTTTCCCAAATGATCAACGATATCCACTTCTGCCCCGCATTCAACCAGGGCTTCGACAAAAGCTGGATCTCCGTTGAGCAATGCCACTGAAGCGCAGAATATGAAAACGCCGCGTTAGTTAGCGAGGCATCGAGCGGACGAGTGTACGTATGTCCTGCGGCCAACCATGGAGATGAATATACAAGAGGACAATGAGCTGTGTTAGCTTACAGCTGATGGGGAGGGTCCAGACATTCACTCCCCCTTCCTCGGACGTGCAGGAAGTCACTGGCAAATTCATTATATATTGACCACCGCGCCCACTGACGTATTCAGCAAGCGGGCCGTAGTCGGTCATGAGGCTCTCGGTGTCGGCCGCGTCCTTGAGAGACCTCAAGTCAGAAGGATTCCCTGAGTTTAAAGCCTGGTTTAGTCTCGCGACCAGGTGGCGCGCTCCGATGGACTCCATGTAGGACTTGGATGCTTGTGAGCCGAGGAAAGAGAACCAGGGAGGACCTTTAGAGACGTCCTCTTGCGAGACGGGCGAGGTAGATTCCAGGCGCCGGCTCGCGAGCATTTCTACAACGGCATTGCATGCTTCGAGAGTAATGGAAGAGAAGTCCACGAGCGCGCACTTGAGTTTCGGCCAGAGGTCGGGGGACAAGGCTTGCGCAAAGGGTGCCCCGGTGAATTTCTCGGATCTGACGCAGCGCAGCGAGAGTAGGCGGATGTGCGGCAGGTGCGCGGTAAGTAGCGCGGTGAGGCCTTTGTCGGTGATGAGGTTGCAGAAGTCGAGTTTGACGCCGACGAGTTTTGTTCTGCTGGCAGTGACCTTGGGCGACGGTACGAAGGGTGAGTCCTCCGCGAGCAGGTGGACCAGGTGCGAGTCCTTGATGAGGACGCAGTGGGATAGGTCCAGTACGATTCCGTCTGACCTGGTTTGCGCGTGGATGAGAGTCATGACCTGCCGTACATAGCGTTCCATCAAATCAGAGGGGTCAAAGCCTCGGAATGCCGAGAAGGAGACGAGCCGGGGCTTGTTGGACACAGAAGCTCCTTCGGGCGCCATATCCCCCAAAAGGCTGGGCCCAAAGGGTGGGGTCCAGCCGGGAGACTGGTTCTCCAGACGCCAGCGCAGGTTGTGGAGCTTTTTGCAGACCATGCTAAAGGTCAGCATCATTTGCGCGTCGACGAATCCGTCCAACAGGCCGATCACCGCCATCCAGCGCCGGCAGCCGACTGCGCCGACAGACTCTCGAACCAAATCGGCCGGTGTGATGCGACAGGACTTCGAGCGATCGTCATGCAAGCTTACGTCAGCTACCATGCGCTATAAACAACAGTAAGTAGGGAGTGTTCGGCGTTCTCCACGTACCTTATATTCTCCATACAATTCTACTGAACCCGAATAAAAATACGCGTTGGAAGCGGGTGCCGGCAACAGGAAGCGGGACCTGGAAAGTTGTGTTGGGCCAAGGATGGGCGGGCGTGAATAAAACTGAACGATGTTTCTTTGCACTCAGAACCAACCAGGAGGCTGCCCCCTATACGCACGCCCGCTAACACCAGAATCAGTATTTTAAAAGATGGACGACGACCAAGAGGCCCCGCCGGCCCGGAGCACGTGTGTGTTCGTAGGCAACCTACCGCTGCCTCGCGACATGCCTGGGCCCGAGGAGTTCGAGATTTGGTTTGATAGTGAACTACAGGCCCTGGAAAATGGGGCTGCATCCGGAGGTCCCGGGGGTTGTGGAGATAACAGTGTCGGTTCGGGAGACCCGGGTACTGAGGGGTCCCGGGTGGAGTTGAAGGAGGAGGAGGAGAGTCGGCCTGTGGTGGCTGGGAATAAGTTTGTATTGGGAGTAGAGGGCTGGTCGGCACGAGATGGAGTATGTTTTGTACGATTGAAAGACGTGGAGTTCTTATCGCTGGGGATGCGGATGAATGGTCGTGAGTGTCGGACGACACATTTGGCGGTGTGCCCACCGCAGTGTTTGCCTGACCCGTTGTTTGCTCAGCTGCCGGTGGTGGGTACGCGTTTGCCGCGGTTGCAATCATTGCCTTATTGGAAGAACAACGGGTACTTGATATTCTCTAATGCGCAGCCTAGTATGGAAGAGAAGGAGTTACGTTCATTGTTTGAGGCGTTGGGTGGCCCGTTGGAGACTTTGTATTTATTCAAGAGTGAGGAATTGGATCGGTTGTTAGGTGCCAGTTTAGGTTGTGGTCGTTGTTCGTATTCGAATAGTCTTATTATTGAGTCGGTGATTCAGCGGTTGCGTTCTGCAACATTGACGGTGGCGGTTTTGGTGGATTCGCGTCGGGCGGAGGTGTTAGCGTCATTGGAGAAAAGTAATGCAGGATGCGTCCATACAAGCCTGAGCGAACAACTCATGGGCGACCCATTGACTGCGTTTATGCTTCGTTCGGGTCGGCTTGTGGGGGCCAAAGTGACTCGTATTGTGCAGTTGTACAACTTCATTACTCTCGAAGATATTCTATGCGACACACTCCGGTCCGAGCTTGTGACTGCCGTGAAATTAGAAGCCGAAAAATACGGCAGATTAGAAAGTCTCGTGTGCCCTCTCCCGGATTCGCGACTAGGCCAACTTGGTCCCGACTCCGCTGGAGCTAACGCCAAGATCTTCCTAGAGTACACAGACACCACTGCCGCCCGCCGAGCGCAACTCGAACTCAACGGACGCACCTTCAACGGCAAAGTCGTTTGCGCCGCTTTTTACCCATTGCTGCCCTTCCAGCTCAAAAGATACTACCTATTCAGCCCTTAACCTTAACCTCCCAACCTTAACCTCCCAACCTTAACCTCCCAACCTTAACCTATTCTGCCATCCTCTTGGTGGGGAGGGGGGAAGGGACAGAACGTGAAGAGGGCTGTTCTGTCTCCAAAAACATGGCCCAAAAAAAAGAGGCAAGTGAGTTATTTTTATCTGCATTTGGCAAGCCTACTCAACAAGTGCGAAGCAACCAACGTTGGTTTGACGACAACCATGACGTCGTGGAATACTTACTATCCACCAGGAAGCTCTTTGTGGTAACATCTTGATGGGTTTATGTACCCTTACCGGGATATATTTAATCGGAGCTAAAATAAATTGTTCCTTTCTATCCTTGCTGGACAGTGTTAAGTGGTCCAGTGAGGACGCTAGGACCCGTACAATCCGTCAACTGACTTCTGAGCTACGCAATTTCTTGGGAATCTAGTAATTGATACGAACTCGACGGAGCCAATACCGACAGAAGCTTATTCCATACAGTCTTGATACTCATGCGAGACTCGTCCATCTAAGTTTGACAACCATCATCACCGCCACATATAAGTGAAATCACACGCGCTTGACAGCATGATGAGATATGTTGTCGCCCCAGTCTGATTATTGATGACTGACTGACATGCTTCTGATTTGTTCTATGCATTCAATATGATGGATATCTATATTTGAGATGATGTCCATGAGTCTCAAAAAATATTTAGTCTTTCTACCCTATCTGATATCTAAAAATAACATGGCACAGTCACATTGCCAATCGGCTCAACTAAATAAGAGGTACCATTATTGCACTACGTACAGCATGATGAGATATGTTGTCGCCCCAGTCTGATTATTGATGACTGAATGACATGATTCTGATTTGCCGTATGTATAAGATAGATAGTGCATACTTGACGTAGTAAAAAAAAAATTTTTAGTCTATCCTGCTTGACAAGACATTTCTTATCCTGCAATTGCGTTTGCGCGCGCGCGCGTCAGAGAATCATAAGCGAGCGAACCGACTTTCGAACTGGTCGGGGGGCTTTCTTTATTTAGAGCCCTCCTATCGTTTGGTCTTATCTTACCTTTGGTGCTATCATTAGAGTAAAGATGTGTTAACTGTTCTCTGCAAAATGGTGAGTGCATGACAGTACTCGGTAGAACTCTTCCTAAAACGAAGGTGCATGAACCGTGGTGTATGCCTACCGCGTCGACTAGACCGTCACCGTTCATATCCGCTCGATATATCATCTCCTGCAACTCTTCTGGCGAAATAATCTCGCCCAAGTCTTCCATCAAACCTTTTAATTCGGGGTAACCGATTTTTCCCTTGTCGTCCACGTCTAGAAGACGGAATAACTACAGCACCGAAGATCTGTGGCCTATGGCTACGGGCCTATGGCTATGGGCCTGTGGCCACGGGCCTGTGGCCACGGGCGGAGAACTTACTTTGAAGGCGTCCTGTTTGCTGATCGTTTTGCCGGATGACAGATTAAACGAACCTGCAGCGAAGACGTCCGCAAATTCTTCAAACGTTATTTGCTTGTCGCTGCCAGGAGCAATTGAGAAGAAAGCAATGTGGCTCACCCCAGTTTGTCCAACGCCACCACGCTGTGGTAATATTGGCGTGGGTCTCCCGCATGCTCAGGGTGCTTCTGTGCAGCGGAGAGCAAAGTGTTCTTCAGAAGGGACGCGGAAACGAGGCCTGTGCCGGCATCGTCGAAGAGGCAGAATACAGACCTGAGCTGGCGTTGCTCGGAACTCATCTGATTTTTAATGCTTTCAATTCCTGCCTGGCACGCACGCCTGAACCAAGCGGTGACGAAGGAGGTTTTCTCGTGGATCACAGAGCCCATGAGCCTATCAGGGCTAGGGCCTATGAGGGCTGGAGCCTATGAGGGCTGGGGCCTATGAGGGTTGGAGCCCACGCGGGAGGTTGTTAACCACTTTGATAGTCAGCGACGGCGTGCAGCATTCGGGTAGAGCAGAGGAGGCATGCAGCCCGTGGAGTCCGGCCGTGAGGGCACACGGCGGCGGGTGCCTGGTGGAGGAACCGCCTCACGTTTGGAGGCGGCATGCACGCGGGGTGGCAAAGCCAAAACTTGCTCAAAAGGTTGGTTTGAAAGATGGGTTCAAACACATAGTGTGACGCGCTCGGAAACCGGCCGGCTTGGAAACCGGCCCGGCTCGGAAACCGGCGCGGTTCGGAAACCGGCCCGGCTTGGTTTCGAGACTGGCCCGAGCGACGGAGAACTGAGGGGACCCGTTCAGTCAATTGGTAGGCTGGGGCTCCAGGCTTCGTGGAGTGGTTTGAGTCGATGGGGGTTGGAGTTAGTGCGGCTGTCGCTGCTGAGTAGTTTGGAGCCGCGAGGCAAAAGGGCATGGAGGGGCGGTTGTGCACGGACGGCGCTGACGCTTTGAAGGCGCTGGAATGTTTTGGCAGGTCGCGCTTCTTTGGTGAATGCGTTGGCATCGGCTCGCGCGCGTCGACGTAAGAACGCGGGATCGCCGAGGAGCGCCGGTACAAACGCGTTTGGAGGTGGTGGTGGGCGTAGGCACTCCAGGTCTGCATCAGCCGGCAAAGCTCGGATAGCCCAGACATTATGCGCGGTGCAATCTTGCGGAGATGACAAAAGTGATAAACAATAAATCTCAGCTCCCAACTCCGTCTGTGACGGCCGCCGAAACATTAACTCCAAACTCGGAATGCGGACGAAACAACTGTCGAACACCGCCTCCTCCCTCGCGACCGTCGCCGCCAGATCCGGCTGCATCGTCGCCCCCGGTCGCGCAAAATGCAACTTGAACGCAGGCCTCGACGCCGCAGGCCGCGACGCCGCAGGCCGCGACGCACCCCCCGGCTGCAACGGGGCCGACTGCATCGAGCCATGTCGCTGTTTGGAAGAAGGCTCCGGCTTCGATGAAGACTGCGGCTTGGAAGAACAGGTCGACTGCAATTTGGACGGAGGCCAGGGGGGCATCTTGACCTTGGCGTCGCGTTTCCTGACGTCTGCAGGCTTTATGTCGGTCGTGTCGACGTACCACCAGCTCTGGATGGTTGCGAATACTTGTTCGGGTTCTTCGATGAGTTCGGGGCGCAACCACTCGGACAGTTCAAGAGCGCCGAGCGCCTGGAGGACCTTGAAGCCCATGCGTTGCTGTGCATTCGGGCGGAGTTCGGGGACGACGACCTGTGGCACCATGTCTTCGGAGCTGCTGGACTCGCTCCAGTCTTCACTCCACGCCGACCGGCCGGCGTCCCAGGTCAGGTCCGAGGCGAGATGGCTCATGCAGGGGTGGCTGGAGAAGGCTTTGGCGTAGGGTGTGCGACCTGGCCAGGCCAGTCCCATTTTCTGGCGGAATCTCTGACCGAATCTCTGACCCAGTCGTTGACCCAGTCGTTGACCCAATCCCGTCGCAGTCGCAGAGTCCGTATCTCGCATGGCCGTCTCCATCCCCACAAGCACGCCGTCTGGTCCTTGATCGGTCGTCATCAAACGCGAAACCAGCAGCTGCCACAGCTTCTCCGCCACCTGTTGGTCACAATGACGACTCAAACTCAGAACACTCGGTCGGCGACCACGCACGTCTCGCAGCGCCAGCCGCACCTGACAGAGCTGGTTGAGATTGAGGTGCGAGAGGTTCATCTGCAATGTGTGCAACGTCGCATCCCCCAACCCCGCCACGTGCGCGGCCAACTGCGCACTCCGACCATTCGCCGTCTTCATGAAGCTGTTGCCGGGCTTCAAAAACGTGGAACTCAACCGACCCGACTTCCGTAAAGAACCTCCGCGCTCGCCCGCCCCCATTGCTTTTGTTCCTACAGAGTTTGTTGCGACAGAGTTTGTTCCGACACTCCAGAATGGCAGCAGATTCCGCCACACGTGGTCGTCTTCGATCCTGCGTTGCTCGAGTGTGTCCAGCTGCAAGGAAAGTGCGCGCGCCTGCAAAAGGGAAGCCAATAACTTCACACCGGCCAACTGCAACTGCGCCTCCGTCTTCCGCAGCCTCTCTACGATCACCGGCCATGGCTTCCGCAACCTGCACGTCCGGTGTAGCGCACGCGCCACTTCTTCGTCCGAATAGGGACATCGCACACGCGTGTGCGACACCGTCGGCGGGGCCAACGTCGGCGGTGCTCGCGGCCTGAAACAGTTGCAGACCGCGGCTGCAGCAGCGCGAGCCGAGTCTTCGCCCGTCGCCGACGCTCGGCGCATCGTCGCTGCCCTCCGCGCCGTCGCCTGTCGCCATTGCGCCAACTCCGGCGCCACCTCCACCGGAAAATAATTCTCACCAATGTATCTAGACTGCCAACCAGATCCTGCTTGCTCACGCCGAAATGCATTCCGCACGCGCCGGGGCGACTGGAAACGCAGGTCCAGCCGACATGGCCGCAACACGTCCGGGTCAGTCTTCGCCATCAATCGCGCCGCATATGCCTGTCTCCTGGCTAAGTGTACAGCCATAGGGTTTGCGTTCTGCATCTAGTTACTTGTGTGTGTGCCACAGACTTGTGTGTCACAGATGTCAGGGGTGTGTGCCACAGATGTGTGGGCTTACACTGGTCGCAGCACTTTGGCGCGAAGATTTGCGCGAACTGGGCGACCCCGCCTCATCTATGAAGAACCCAGCCTTTTTCGGCGCTAAACTATATATAGTGGTCCGAGGCGGGGTGGTCTGCGTGGGACTGGTCCTGGGGGTTCTGCTCTGGGAGGGACTGGTCCGGGAGGGACTGTTTCTCATAAAAGCCGCCGGTGATGGGATGTTCGTAGGCACGGGGGCCGGGGTATGGTAGACCGGAGACCGTTTCTGTAGCGAAGCATCTTCATTGCTCGACGTCGCCTTCCGCCGCGTGCAGGAGGGCTCCTCTGTGCTGCAGGAAGAGCCCGTCGGCGCCGACGTAATCGGCCGTAGCGGCTTCGACCACTCCTCCAGATTCAAAGAGGGGGGATCTGTAGACGAGGACGAGGACGAAGACTTCCTTTCCGTACGGCCTCTCATCGGCCCATATTTTTACCCATAGAAAACCACTTCCACCCACCTGCCTATCCACCCACCTCCGGCCACACTCCTCTGCCATGTCTCCTGCAAATACCCCTCTCAGTCCTGCTATATGACCAAGCATGGTTCGTGTGCTAAGGTAATCTATTTTTCAAGACACCAAACAGGGACAGCAAACAGGGACAAGACAAACAGAGACCACAAAACAGAGACAATCACTTTGACCCCAACCAATCTGCCTACGCTTGCCCCATCCCATCACCCACCAACACGTCAAGTTAGGACAAGATAGTTCGGAAAAAATATCTGGACCACTCACACTCGTCTCTAAGCTCCGTCGTCCTGGTACCTGATTGTCTTGGAACACACGGCGGTGGTTCAACACACGGCGGTGGTTCAACGGACTTGAGAAAAAGCTTTCGGACGGACGCAGCCGGAGTGAGTTATCGGGGCACCCCATGGTACACATGTAACGCCAATAGGCGAGAGAGCACCGGCTAAGAATTGTCGCGAGCATCATTACTCGGAGCATCATTACTCGGAGCATCATTACTCGGAGCATCATTGAGCCAGTAATATGTGCATCTATACCGTTGGTTTTCCGCGCATGGGTAATTCGTGTCATCAATGCATGAACTGAGTTGTGTCATCACCCTGCTTGAACAACTAAACAGAAATTGTGGACTGCCGACGTAAAGGTAGTTGCTTAGGTGTTTAGTCGTGTTCAGCGTCCTTACTCTCTTTGATACAAGTACCGTGCTCAAAGCTTCCCGCCGCATCTTCGGTAGCCGTGACCTCGGCATGCTCCCGATTCCGGTGCTCGACCGACTCCCTCCTGCCTTCGTCTGAATCTCGGCTGTCATTCCGCACCATTTTGGCTCTGCTATTAACACGCGCGCCTTGTTTGTCGGATGCCCTACGGCTCTCTGGGGGACCTTTACGGTTGTCGTCATCGCTACGGTGATACCGCTCCTTGTACTCTCGATCCTTATACTCTCGATCCTTGTACTCTCGATCCTTGTACTCTCGATCCTTATACTCTCGATCCTTATACTCTCGATCCTTATACCCTCGATCCTTATACTCTCGATCCTTGGAATCGCGATCCTTGGAATCGCGATCCTTGGAATCGCGATCCTTGGAATCGCGATCCCTATTGTCGTAATCGTCCAATCGACGTTCGTAGCTGCGCTTATAGTATCCTTTATCAAACTCCCTACGGTCCCAACTGCGGCCGTGATGTTCTCTGCGATAGTCTTTCCGATGATCATAGTCTCTCCGATCGTCATAGTCTCTTCGGTCCTCGTAGTCTCTTCGGTCGTCATAATCTCTTCGCCCATATTGGTCTTTCCGTCTGTAGTGGTCTCGTCGTCTATAGTAATCGTCGTCGTCACGATCGTCGCCCGGCCGATGGTGGTAAGGAGCAGCTCGATTGTCATCCCAACGACGTTCCCGCCATCGACGACTGTGAGCCTTCAAGTACTCTGGATCGAAATATCGGAGTTCCTCACGGTTACGTATTTCCTCATCCAACTCCTCCTCATCGTTCAGACTCTCACCCGACTGCTTCTTTTGCATCCACTTCTCAAACCGAGCTCGAGCTTGCTCCACCTTTTTATTGATCGACAACTGCTTCACCGACTGGTAAGCAATGGGTACTGGTGGCAAACTAGGAAGGTCAACACCAAACTGGATGTTAGGGTCGTGGACTCGAACAACTGATTCCGAACTCTCAATTCTGCAACCAGACAAAAATTTGAGATACAACCATGAAGGGGAAAATCCACCGGTAACCATGAAGGGGAAAATTCACCGGTAACCCTTAAGGGGGGGGAGGGGGAGGGGGAGG